GCCTGGTGACATTTCACTTTACAGCGTGATTAAATGATGTTAAAATCTCGTACGGCTTCTTCCATAAAATTTTCAGGAGGCATTCATAGAATCTTCAAATTTCCATTTTATTAACTGCCACACTCATGTACTGATCACAAAGGTGCAGGGGGAAAAAATTTAAAAACCAAAAGAAAAGAAAGAAAAACGAACTGATAAATGAAATATCAGCACATTACTGAGATCTGGGCCTCAGATGTTTCTCCAGGGATCCCTCACCAGAACTAAATCAGACATAGAAAAATCACACCCTTTTAACAAACAGATCAAAACATTTTATAATTACAGGGGGTCTCAATTCAGTACATCAAACCTCAATGAAAAATAAATATATAATATATACAAATAAACTCTATAAACATGAAATTCCATTCACCATAAAGCAATAATAAAATAAACTGGAAAGAATGCCCTTTATAATAACACATTCAACTGAACAAACAATCCAAACCCATATGGTACCCAAAACTACATTTCCCATAATTCCTAGCAAAGGATATAAAGGACATCAGGAAATGCCGCATTCTTTTAATAACAAGCCTTTGTTCCATGCTGCAGTCATGGATCCTGGCAGAACCACGGGTAAGATACACAATCATTCAAACAATTAAATAAAGAAAATATTAACCCATATCTTGTCTCGTTGTGGTTTTATTCAATCACTAGCCTGCACTCTTGTAATGAATTGTTGTCTCGCTCTTTGATCTTTAATGCGCGCATAAGAGAAAACATGCACCACTAACACAAAATGTTTTGGGTAAATGATATTAAAAAGACAAAATAAATACATATAAATTTATAAACAAGCAAACAAACAATTAATCCCTTAAACAAAACAATCAATTTCTCCTACAAAGAAATTAAATTAATTAATAATTGGGCTAGTTTATTTCAATCGTTCTAGTTTTCTTTTTAAGTGTGGCCTTAGCCATCACAAATCCATTTAATTTTCATATTTGACCACGTGCAGAAACTTTTATTTTGAAATCGTGATGTACAATAAATGGCATATTTAGAAATAGGTTGATGTATTCTCCTTTGAGAAATGATATACGTTACAAATCTAGTGAGATAATGCACACTGTTTTCCCGGATGAACGTTAAGCAATTCAAATTCACAGCATATACAGAGGAAGAGTTTAGCCCCTTTCACACATACAGTCTTTACTGGTAAATTACCGGCAAGTTACCGTTAATAGATCATGTGTGAACAGGACCTTTTTTTTTTTTAATCTCGCTAAATTTGTTCTGGCGATCATATCGTTTTAAGGAGATGACATGATTACTCTGAGCTGTTTACAAAGCTCTGCTGCTTTTTAATTAGTTATTCTATGTAAATATGCGCTAGATGGACATCTTTTGACCATTGCGCCTCGCAGCTTTTTGTCGCGCTTCTCCATTCATCAGCTGCGACTCTGCAGTTGGATACTATTATGCGCGTCTCGTGTTTATAAGAGCAAAACATTCTGATTAGCTAGTAATGTTAGTTTGGTTGAGAGTGAAAGCTGTGCTCCTCTCATACCATTGGTAGGCAAACTCATGGACTCGAAAGTGATATCAATCAACAAGATTTTTTTTTTTAAATATAGGACTATTTTTTCCACAGCCAAACACTGCAAGCCGGAGATCCGGCACGGTGCCAGAGAACTTTAAGCCCTGCGTAATGTCCATGATAGATGAACGAGGGAGTGGAGACTCAATGGCCAGCTATGTAGAAAGATGCAGTAGAGCAGTGCAGAGATCGGTAGCCAGCAGCAGAGTAGCGTTGGATAGCATTGGATGGATCAGTGATGTGTTGGAAAAATTGTCCATATAATCCACAGTAAAGTAAAAAAGTCCAATAAAAATTCCAGTTGAACAGGTAGAATAATCCAATTAACGTTTCAGTTGAGCAGGAGGGACATATACACAAACCGACTTGTAACTAAACAACAAAACAAAGGCGAAAAAAGTTCCAGCGAGAGGCAGCAGCAGCGCGCGCACAGCGTTCTCTCACCGGAACAGGCTGCCAGTCTACAGTACCTTGGGGCTACACAAAAACAACACTGCACCACTGTGCTGCACTATATGTAAATTATAAATTGACAAAATGATTCCACTGACCCTTTGGACTTCTCAAACAGTAATGCTTTCTGCTGCCATCTGCTGAGATAGCCAGCATATCTGGTTTGCATGCTGGACACTTCATGGGCTCCATCAGGCACAGGTCTTCTTTTTTTAAATTACAAAAGGTAAACTCTTGAAAGACTCCATGGAATGCATCACCACAAATACTACCTGGAAAGAAGGACGGTATTATTTTGGTTAATAAAAGATTTTTAATTTTGAAATTCAAAAATCTTGGCAATGAAAAGAGTTCTTACCCGACCTGTGCGAAGAGATCGACGTTCCAGCATTTTGAGAAATGCTTGTTGGGATAAAGCTGGGCTAGCCAACTTCATCTGCTCGAATGATGTGAATACATCAAACTTGAACAGCATTTGGCAGCTGGTGGTTGCTGACCAGTATCTATATTTAAGAATGTCACTAATCCCAGGAGTCCATTTACAAGAACAAAGTGTACAGCACACAATAGGCAGGCAAAGGTTGTATGGACCTTGAAACAAAGATGAGATTACTATTTGACCAGTATTTGGACAAAATAATAAAAGTTAGCAATTATTGTGCTTGGCTTCACATCACCCTCTGGTGGGTGATATATAAAAAAGTAGAGGGAAGTGACAACATGCCATTGATAGTTATCCCAGGAAAGCAGACTGTCTTGGTGACTGTGAAGTCTTGGTTTGGACCGCAGAGGAAGATTTGTATTGGTGGACGAAGAAAAAATTGCAGTAAATAACATTTTTAAGAAAGTTAAAGTTACTTAAAGTTACTAACTGTTACACAGTTACCGGCTGTGTTCGCGCCGACACATCAAACCAAGCTGTATTCATGTTACCATAACTCTTTAACCATTTTCACTATCAAAATAATTCAAATTGCTCATGACAGCAGACAACATGATCTTTTCAGTTACATGTGCTTTTATAGCAGTTATTTCTTTGGGAGCAGGCTGGAGAGAGGGGTTACATTGGTGCCGTGACCCGGATGGGAGTGAGGATTAGGGGGGTGAGTATAACGGAGGCCAGCGGTAGGTGCTGTGCAGGTAAACCTCACTCCCCTGATCTCATTGGCTGCAGTCATTTAGCCTCCTTGTTAGTGCGTCCGCCTCCCATGCCGGAGACCAGGGTTCGAGACCCACTCGGAATGAGAAAGAGGTGTGGCGGTGAGGACCCGTGAGAGAGGGGTTACACTACACCATGGTAAACATGCCCACGTCCCAACTATTTTGAGACCTGTAGCAGGTATCAAATTTGAAATGAGCTCATTTTGTGCATAAAGTTGTACAATTTCTCAGTTTTGTTATGTTATCTATGTTCTATTGTGAATAAAATATTGGCTCATGTGATTTGAAATTCTTTTAGTTTTCATTTTATCCCAATTTAAAAAACGTCCGGTAAAATTATCATTTATTGGTACTTTGAATTGGGAGGTGGCTGTCCCAAAACAGTGTATGTTAGTCCATTGGCTGAGTCTGATTTTAACTAAACCCATATATTTATGATCAGGAAATATTCCTGTGTCCTCTCTTATCACTACAAGTAGATAGATTTCATCATTTTGAGGTAAATGTGTTCAAAAGTCTGAAAAATCTGTGTAACTTTAAGGAACGTCACTACTGAACTCCATTTTTCTGCAATTAAGCACGCTTTTTTGGGGGAATTATTCCATAACATTTAGTTTTTATATGTATACCACTGTTCGGAACTGTGCTGGATAACCATGTGCTGATTAGCATCTTTGAGCTAGATTCAAAAGTATCTAAAATGGACACTACCCAAACAAAGATGTCACTACCGAAACTCCACCAAATGTTTTGGTAGTGACAATTCTATGGGATAACACCCCAAAAAAACACAGTCACGACCGAAACATGTCATCATTGTTTTGGTAGAGACAAAAGGGAACACATAATCCTCATATTTGGGGGAAATAAACAAAATATTACTACAATTATGCAATTTTCAATTTTATTTGTTGTATTTTAGTATGTTTTAGCAGTGTTTTAGTTTGTGAGTTAAAGTTCTGTAATGTGATGTGGTCGCTACCAAAGCATTTCTGCCACTATTGAAAATGTGCAGTCACGACCGAAACATGGGATGTTTTGTCAAAAATAAAGTGTACTGAATTATCAACTGAGATGTTATGATAGTTTTTGGTTCAATATATATTCAAACTAATGAATCCTTAACTTTGAAATCAGTATGATCAACTTTTTGCCTTTTACAAAGAAAAATTGGATTCAAAATACAACAAATCTCATAAATTGCACTTGAAATATTGTTACAAATTTTATTGTTATTGATTTACCTCTGAGGTCAATATAACCCTTCTTATTAAATTATTATTACTGTGTTTCGGTAGTGACAAATTTGGGGAGAGGACAAATATTCTAGAACTTTCTGAAAATACAATATGATAATTAGCTGCACAATTACTAGAAATGTGTACCTTGGATATTATACAATATTCATACAAACAATTTTCTTTCTAAGACGTTTCCAACTCTGGTTTTGGACCAATTCTGTAGAATGGCCCATAACTCTTCCCCCGCTGGAAGAGACCGGACCTCCTGGAACTTTAATCGAATACCCCTGACTTGTATCATAAAGAAAGACTTTATTTGTATGGTTTTGTAATATCTGTATCACCGATTTTCTTATGTGCCATAGAATTGGATTACAGATCAACTGTTTTGCAGATTGTTATGGATTAAAACCATTACAATTAACCATTAAAGTTGCTCTGACCATAAAAGTAACAGGCTGGATGTACATTAACCTTACAAAGCATATCATAGAAGATCATATGTTTTGTCTAGAGCTTTGTAATTAGGATGAGTTCAATTTATGAGGATTTTTTTAGCAAGCCATTAAATCACTCGAGACTTGACTCGGACTCCAGCGATAAAGACTTGTGAACATCGCTGCGTGGTTCCTCCGCAGCAGTGAAAAACACTTTCCACATTCAGAACAGGAATGTGGCTTCTCCTGCGTATGAACCGTCAGGTGTGTCTTCAGGTTTGATGACTGAAGAAATGTTTTGCCGCACTGATCACATGCATACGGCTTCTCTCCGGTGTGGATCCTCATGTGATCAGCAAGATTGTGTCTGTATGTGAAACTTTTCTCGCACTGATCACACTTGAACGGCTTCTCTCTGGTGTGAACTCTCATGTGATCAGCAAGATTGTGTCTGTATGTGAAACTCTTCCCGCACTGATCACACTTGAACGGCTTCTCTCCGGTGTGATCTCTCATGTGTCGTTTAAGGTTTGCTGATTGCGTGAAGCTCTTTCCACATTGGCCACAAATGAACGGCTTCACTCCAGTGTGAACACTCATTTGACCCTCAAGACTAACTTTGTTTGAGAATCTCTTTTCACACTGACCGCACATGAACGGCTTCTCTCCGGTGTGGGTCCTCATGTGATCATTAAGATGATGTTTGTATGTGAAACTCTTCCCGCACTGTTCACATGTGTGTGGCTTTTCTCCAGTGTGGATTTTCATGTGTACTTTAAGATGTGCTGATTGTGAGAAACTCTTCCCGCACTGATCACATGTAAATGGCTTTTCCCCAGTGTGGATTTTCATGTGAATTTTAAGGTTTCCTCTTTCTTTGAATTGGTTTCCGCACTGATCACATGTGAACGGCTTCTCGCCGGTGTGAACTCTCATGTGATGCTCAAGACTTTGCTTGAATGGGAAACTCTTCCCACACTGAGTGCAGGTGACAGATTTATCGGCTTTTCTTTTCTTTAAAAATGTATTTTTAGTCTTCGAGCGACTCGAACGTTTTTCTCCAGGTTTGTGATGATGTTTCTCCTCCACTTCACTCCGTTCTTCTCTCTCCTCGCTCTCTTCCATCAGCTCTGAAATGAAAAAAAATAATTTAAAAAATCACTTTAAATAAACCAATATTCAAAGAGTGAAATATGAAAGCGAGTCCTGATGTAATAGCAGAAACGAGACAGCTGCTGTAAAACATTATGATCATTCTGGTGTGTTTTTATGAATTAATTGCATGAATGAGGTACATTGACATTTTAGTTATTGTTTTCAAAACATTTTAGGCACAAATTAAATTTTGTCGTAGTGATTACGTTATAGGACCAAACAGATCTCGCCCCCGATTTACTTCCAAAATAGTATGAAAAATAAATACTATGGTAGTCAATGGGGGGCGACATCTGTTTGGTTACTGACATTCTCCCAAATATCTTCCGTTGTGTTCAGCAGAACAAAGAGATTTATACAGGTTTGGAACAACCTGAGGGTGAGTAAATGATGACCGCATTTTCATTTTTGGGTGAACTATCCTTTTAAGTTATTCTTACAACCCTGTCAGACATTCTGGAAAGTCCATTTACTTTATACAGTGTCCTGTATATTGCTTATTGCTTAAAAAAACAATGTTGTATCCAACAAACTGAATATTTGTTGGAAACTCTACCCATTTCATAATTTAGCTCTTTATCTAAATCTGATGAAGTGCTAGACGCTTTCTAACATGAATGTTCTTCAGCATCGTGAATGAAGAATAAACACCAACCTGTTAGTTCCTCAGTATCTTCAGTGTGTTTGATTCTGCAGGGCTCTGATCTCTCATCTTCTCTCTGTCCTCTTTAATAAACTCAGTCTTTGATCAGATCTCAGCTCTTCCTGATGCTCTGATGCTCGTCTGCACTTCTGAACTGATGGAGATCTTCCAGCATTTATTGCTGAACTGCAGTGGGAGGAGCTTCACTGATGATGGGAGGAGCTTCACTGGTGATGGGAGGAGCTTCACTGATGATGGGAGGAGCTTCACTGATGATGAATTCCAGTGTGGGAGGAGCTTCACTGATGATGAATTCCAGTGTGGGAGGAGCTTCACTGATGATGAATTCCAGTGTGGGAGGAGCTTCACTGATGATGAATTCCAGTGTGGGAGGAGCTTCACTGATGATGAATTCCAGAGTGGGAGGAGCTTCACTGATGATGAAATCCAGTGTGGGAGGAGCTGATCTGCCCAAATCAAAGTATATCACTTACTGAGTTAATTTTTATAGGGTCAAAGACCAGATGTCAAATTTTAGTGCAACAAATGAAATGGACCAAAGTGATATATATTCATAGAAAACCCATTAAGTGCAAATGTGTGTATAGTTATTCTGTAGTCATTAGTTATATGAGATAGTTATAGTTATTCTGACCTGTACTTAATAAAATTAAGCATGATCTCTTATTCTTTTATATACAGTATTATATACAGTATGGGTAAAAGCTAGTGTTTTGAAGGATAGTGTCAAAGTATAGAGATTTAAATGGAGAATTAATGAGTATTTTTGGGCTGCACTGTGATCCTTTAACACAGTGTTTGAACATGTCATCAAATGATTCTTGTTCTAAATATGCCTGAAACGTTTTTTTTGTGCTATTTTAACCCATTTTTGTCGTTGACTCGTTTACTAATTAACAAATGTAAGCATTTATATCTGGATCATAAAACAACTGATGCTAATTCACAATTTTTTAATGTCTAATTCTAACATTATTCTGTTTCTTCATTAAAATAAAGGTAGATATCTAGAAAAGAACTGTGAGGAAAGCATTGGGAAGCATAAAGACAAATAAATGTAGATATCTGTAAGCAACAGATACCTTCAGTCTGTTGACACCAATGTAACGAGCTTAAAGTGGCCATTTACAGGAGATCTGAAGACATCAGCTTAATACATGAGGTGAGAACAGGACTATTGTCATGAAATACAGAGTGTTTTCAGCAGCTGTTAATATTGATGAGCCTCAATCAACACTCATTCAACAAGACATTCAGGATCATCAGCAGATCATCTCACTTTATTCTGTCTGTTTCTGTTAGAAACACATTATCTGAGTCAGGATAGATGCTAACAGCCTATTAAAGTGTTCCACTGAAAGATAATACTGTTATAAGTAACACAATATGACACAAGCAATACAAAAACAAACACTAATGTAACTCATCTTCATTAACCACTCCAGCAGCATGTCCATATGAATCTAAATATAGTTTGATTTTCTAAGTACATTCACTGCAATAAAGTAGTTATAACGTAAATGCTAATTTTGTGAGTAGAAACTGAGAACTATCATAAACCTTCCAGCAATACAAAGCACCTAAGCACTAATATTTCCAGCATCAAACTATATTCGTATTTACCTATATTAACATTTACGTACATATTAAATGTCTCACGTAGCTCATTATCAGCTCAGTGTGAAGTGTTAAACAGTATCTGTTCCAGTATCTTTTTACCATGTAAGGTAACTAACAAAATTGATCCAAAGATGTCCGAAGTGTAGAAATACATAAGCAGCTCAACACTCAACACTTCAAACTTTTGTCCTTGCATGCTCGCTGCAAGTATACTAACCTTTCTATGTCCCGCTGTGTCTCACGTGCGAGCCTTTCAAAGTATGTCCCTCTGCTGTGAGCACAGTAGTGTATCTAGTGGACTTTTTTTTTCCAAGCGCTCAATTCACTCGTGAATATTCGTTGTCCGTGTGGTCACAAAAATTGGGTGTGTGTGGACGTCCTCTTCAGTGTATTGTTACATGCACTTATAGTGCAAGTGCACATTAACTCCACTAGTTAACCCCCACCTCCATTAGTCCTAAATAGCCATTCTATCATTCATATCAATAGTTCCTCTGTGAGAAATATTGTTCCATTTATTTAATCAATTTGGTGGTATAATCTTTTTCTTAAGGTGTGTTCACACTTGTAGTTCGGTTTATTTGGTTAATTTGGTCTGGACCAAAAATTAAAATGATACATTTAGTCCTGGTTCGCTTAGCGTTCACACTGGCATTTTTGACAACAAACCAAAAGATACCGAACTTAAACGCATATTCATACGTTCACAACCTGATTGGCCAAATTGAATGACATATATTTTGTGACGGAACTTACCGAACACCCCAAATAATAGGTGTGCTCGACTTAAAGCGGCAATACGCATACTGATCGGTGTATGACATCAAAGTACCCATTCACAGATTGGTCTGCTCATCGCCGCTTTAAGCTTAATACACTGGTCTTACGTTGCTTCACGTTTACCCTCTGCACATTTTGTTTTGGATACATCGCTCGTTCCGCGTCGTCAAATCATGTCGCATAGCGTCGCATCTCGTCATTACTTCCGGTTTGTGGTTCGTTTATAAGTATTTGGTCTGTGTTGCGTCCATATATCATTCGAACCGCACCAGAGTTCGTTTGGAAGCAGACCGAGACCCATCTTTTTAGCGGTCTCGGTCTGCTTGTTTGGTGCGCACCAGGGTTCGGATTGGCAGCGATTCACCCTTCTTAAATGAACCGCAATAACAGAGCAATCGCACCAGAGTTCGTTTCAATCAAACCAAACATGACAAGTGTGAACACACCCTTAGAGGTATATACACGTATGTGCCAAGAGCTCCTGAAAATCCTGTTTTCACCTCATTCATTGTGCTGATATCTTCAGATCAGTAAATTGCCACATTATTGGTGTCAACAGACATAAGCACGATCAACTATTGGGTTAGGGAATACAATCAGAGATCTGACTTACCAAACAATATCTTTATTATCTTTCAAATTCTAAAAACGGTCAATCAAAATGGTACATATAAAGTGCACCACATGCGAAGCATGCGATGACTGGCAACTTTAACCACTGAAAGGATACTACGACAAAGATATTCCTTTCCTTATTCAAACTGATGTTTTAATTAATATATATATTTTATTGAAAGGATAGCCCCTTGAGATGTGACATCTCATTTTCAAGGGGTTCCTAAAAACACAAAAACAAAATATTACAACATAAACAAAACGTACACGCACAAATATGCAAAACAGAAGATATGTTCAACCAGTCCCCCACACCCACAGCAGGATTACAAAACAATCACACTGAAAGGATACTACGACAAAGATATTCCTTTCCTTATTCAAACTGATGTTTTAATTAATATATATATTTTATTGAAAGGATAGCCCCTTGAGATGTGATCTCATTTTCAAGGGGTTCCTAAAAACACAAAAACAAAATATTACAACATAAACAAAACGTACACGCACAAATATGCAAAACAGAAGACATGTTCAACCAGTCCCCCACACCCACAGCAGGATTACAAAACAATCAATGTCACATATAAACAGAATCAACAAAAGAAAACTTAAAAGCATACACAAAATATTTTGAGATAAGAAAATAAAGATGACCTAAAGCAATAAAGGGAAGCAACAGATATCAAAGACTGAGGAAGATTATTCCAATCAGAAGGAGCTTTATATTGAAAAGACCTACATCCGGCTTCACTAAAAATTCTGGGAACACAAAAGAACGGAAATTGTACATGTCTAAGTGAATAAGAAGATCTGTATGAAATCAAGTACTGTTTCAAATACCAAGAACCAATGAAATTGTCATCTTCTTGATTTAGGATGTAACCAATTAAGCATTTCGTACATATGGCAGTGATGAGTACGATATGGACACCTTAACACAAATCTACATAAAGAGTTGTAAACCACATTAAGAGGCTTCAGATAAGTATCAGAGGTATCTTGATATACGATATCAGCATAAATCAATAAAAGGTAATATTACCTGAGAAATAATTATTTTCCTAACCTGACATGTAAAACAATTAATAAAGTAAACGCAAACAACTGTATGTTCTATTAACAATATCATCAATATGGGGCTTAAAAGTAAGTTCAGGGTCAATCCAAAGGCCAAGATATTTAAATGAATCAACAGTCTCAAGAAGTAAACATCATCAAAAGTAATATTCAAATCAAAAGGAAAAGAACGACACCATCACGTGCCAAATAGCATACAACAAGACTTCTT